TATATAATCTCCATACTAGTACAGAGGATAAATCTTGAAAGCAGCCTATAGGATGGGTGTAGTTCTCACACTGAATCCCAGCACTGGACCCATGAATCAAGCACAAACTCTAGAGTCAGCCACTCCAGAAAAGCCCACCCCTAATCACTACATGAGGCTTGGTGGGGGGCGTCTAGACACAAACCCTAGCCTTCCTAGGTTTGCACTGAGGTCCTTGTAACGAGACACTGAGAAGAGGAAGCCATCCAAACATAAATTTCATGTGACACAGCAATCTTTATAAAGACAATGAAGACCCACAGATAACCATTAATAAAGTTTTGATGAAGAGTTGAGAAATATGATACAGTAAAGAAGTCTGATCTAATGTTATAAATTGGGGGAACCTACCAAAATCAGTTAGATTCATCTCCAACCTTTTATCTTCAGAGATGAGGATGTTCCTTTGTTTCAGGGTGGATTAGATCTTTCCTAGGTTTTCTGGCCTTGCTTTGGGGGGTGACAGACAAGAGAGGGGTCAGAAACCAATTCTGCTTCTAATTTCCTCCAATTCCTTCAACTTATTCAGTATGGCTAGGTACCATACTTTGGCAAGGTAACATGTTCTGAGCTCCATCAGAGAAGGTATAAATTATCCATATCAAAAATGAAGATTAAGAAACACTCTTTATGTCAATAATCAATGACTTAAGTAAAATACATTCCTTGAGAAACGCATATTACTGAAACTGACAAGATGGGCATGGTGAAGCATGTCTGTAATGCCTACTCAAGAGGCTGACAGAGGAGAATCACAGCTCAGCCCAGACAACTTTGCATCTTCCCTGAGGCAGAAACTCCTTGTGGAAGGACAGCAAGGGCCCAGGGGAAAGTAAGAATGGAATGAGCAGCTGCGTGGAAGAGGGTGCCACAAGAATCCAGCAGATCCTACTTTGTAATACTATGCATTGCCTTGAAGACCGTGTGTGAGCACTTCTACTGGAGCACACAAAAAACTACAATATATAGACAGACAGACAGACATATAGCAATAGAGTCTATGTCCTTTTTCTTCTGCCCACTACTGTCAACATGTTTCTGATCAAAATTTTGCACTGGAGAGGGGGTAAATGAAAATTAAGAAATGTCATGTGCATGTATTGACTCACCAGGATGAATGTAATCATATACAAACATGTGCCAATTAAAAATTAAATAGCAACTGCCTGAAAAAAAGCACACTGGGGCTTTTCATGCTCAAATCAGGTATTTCCTGTCAAGTTTGGTCATTAACTACTTATTACTTGGGGGAGGGGCAATGAGACACTTAGCCCAGGGTCTGCACAAAAGTGCAGGCCAAATATTGATACAGTTATGCTTCCCCTTTAGCCTATTTGGGAAAATTTTCTATTAAACCTGAATTTGCAAATGTAAATCTAAGTTTTCCATGATGGGGAAAGGATACAGACTGCATAACAGTACTGGGGATGGAACCAAAGGTTTGAGTGTTTACTTCATCATTTGAATTAAATTTATAGAAACAAGGCAACCATATTTAAGACAAAGAGTGAACATGAGAAAGACTACAAACTTCCCTGAAAACCTATTTGAGGAAAGAAACACCCAAAATGAATCACAAGATTCCCCCTCCTCTACCCTTTTCCTGTGGTATTAGGGTTGAATCTAGGGCTTACATACAGGCAAGCACTCTTTGCTCAGCCTCTTTCACAGTGAGACAGAGACTTGCTCCAGGTGCCCAGACTGCTCTGGAACTTGAGTTCCTCTTGCCTTGATCTCTGGAGCAGCTAGGACTATTGTTGTGCCCACCTCCACTGTATGTTTTAAATAGAATAGAAAAATAATAGATGAGACTTAATACAATTTCAAAAAAAGTTAGGTATTCAACAAAGGTTGTTATATCGCACGTTGTTGTCTTTCATGTAGTAGCTAGGACTACCAAACGAGCTTTTTTTTTTTTTGGCAGAACCAGGGATTGAACTCAGAGCCCTTGCGCATGCCAGGGAAGCGCTTGTTCTACTGAGCCATCTTCCTGGCCACAGCTACATTCTTCAGACTACCTTTAACTCAGGCAAACTATAGCTGTACATTTCCTTTCTTTGATTTAACCAGGTCTGTGTGATTTTTTCCCTACTGGGGTAATGGGTGAAATCCATAAGGATGAAGGTAAGCTTATTTAAGAGCTCCTGCTAAGGAAGGACATTAGAATTTGATTTCCACTTACCCATCTGATATTAGAGTTCTACTACTGCATAAAACAAAGCAGTTTTTTTCCTTTTTTAGCAAAGCAGTACACTCAGGCTGGAGCCTGGGAATTCAGGTACTCAACAGTTTTATCACAACTACCCTCCTGGAAGCATTAACACACCATACTGGGCTCTACAGCAGGAAGACTAAGGTTCATTTATAAACAAATTGGGGAGACACAAAGGGAGGGTTGCTCAAAGCCCACATCAGGACTCTCACGTCACTGGAAACAAGAGCAGCCTGTTTTCTTACCTTCATTCTGTCACAGGTACACTCAGCAAGGAACTAGGCCACAGCCCTGCCCTTCCCAAATCTCTCTTTATAGGGCAGTATTTACCTGAAATACAAAGTTGTTTACACTATAGTCTTTATATCACAGCAAAGCGCTAGCATGTACCATTTTAATTTCTTGCTGAAAAGAAATGACACTTTTGTTGAGTTCCTGCATCGGTTCTATTTTTTTTTTACTACTTTTATTCTTTAAAAAATAAGACACTTTTTTTCACTGTTTTATTATAAAAATCAACATTTCATTTGTTACAATTCAGCTTATTGTAATAATCAAAAAGGGGATTTATACAAGGTATTTTTGTACAGTTATAATTAAAGCACTTATTTTACAAAAAGGGGGAAGTGGACAAGGGCTGACCAAATGTTGGCCATTATAATATATTAAATACATCCTTGCAAAGCACCATCGTACCAAAGTCGATGAACAAGAAACACCAGTTGACTTTAAGACAATGACGAAGATTAAAGCTTAAGAAAAAAATTAAAAACATAAAGGATAAACATCTGAAAGCAGCACCAGATCCTTCACTTGCAAGTAAGGCTAGTCCAGTTTAAGCTTCACAGTATCCTCTTTCCTCTCTTAAATTCTCAACAAATCAGATACTTAACTTCATATAATATTGGATTGAATCAATTTTCTTTGCTTTACATTTCTTTTAATACACATATTTAGGCATTGATACCAATAGATATATCTTCATCAATTAATATCTCTATTCCCTCAAATACACTGAATTAAAAAACAAAACAACCCAAATGAACAGTTAAGCAAAAGTATGTAGACTGTAATTCTTTGGTGTTAACTTTTGGGAAAATTCTATAGGTAATTATGGTTATTCTACTTGTTAGTTGCCTATATACCGCTTGTGAGTATAAGAAATCTTTTTTTTTTTAAGTTTTTTTAAATTTTATTTATTTGTGTGTGTGTGTGTGTGTGTGTGTGTCCAACTCAGCCCACCAGGGGGCGGGGCTGGCTGGCATGTGGTGCTGGGGGATTGAACCGCGGTCCCTGTGCTTTGCTAAGCTTGTTCTAAGTAGGTGCTTTACACCACGGAGCCATCTCACCAGCCCAAAGAGTATAAGAAATCTTTGAGTCTGTAATTCTTTCTATAAAATTATGACGATACTTTTCAGCAATACAACTATGACTTAAAAATTGCTTATAAGGGCCAGGGAGATAGCTCAGCAGCACAAGCGCCTGCCTGGCAAGTGCATGGTCCCGTCGATCTCCAGTACCAAAAAAAAATCTTATGAAAGAAAATAGCATAACTCACCTCAGTAAAAGAAAGAGGGTGGAGCCAGCAATTCAATTTTATGTCATTAAGATAAACACCTCCAAATCTACTTACCATTCCCCTCAGGATTACTCTAATAAGATATGCAATTAAAGAGAAATACCCTGAGGATATGGAATCACAGTATCCATCATAAAAATTTTTTAAAAAAATTATAAATGTAGTTTTTAAGTCGAAGTTCAAAGTCCTTCACTCTAAATTATTACAAAAGCCAAAATTTGAGACAGAATAATGCTGTCTGCCATTCCTGAAGTCACAAATCACACACAAACGACTAGTGCTTTCTAAGAACACAGTATTTTTCTTAGCCTATTTACTTTAGGCTTGAAAAGAACACCAAGTGAAATTAATTTTCAGTTTAAGAAATTGCAGGCATATACCTGTAATCCTAGCAATCTGGGACACCGAGGCAAGAGGATCACTCTGAGCACCTTATTTACTTTGGAAGACCCTATAACAAAAGTAACAGAAAAGCTGCAAAGGCCTTGGATTCAATCCCCAGAACCTTAAAACAAACAAACAAACAAAAAAATCTACTATTTTAAAAACTTGACTTTCAACTTCTTCAGGATTCCATCCATGTCATGCTAAGTACACAGCTACATTCTCCTATGTGGGTCCCAATTATTAGCTGACCAACTAATATCCACATACCCATATCCATAACTCACACACTATATATTTCAAAAGCATGATACATGGGGGGGGGGGTTTAAAAGTCCAAAATTTGTTTCTGAATCTTGTAAAATTTCCCATACAAGAAATAAAACTATTCAAAAAAAAAAATCTAACACCCTATGTAAGCAGCCCACCTCCTACAGAGAAGACCCAGCAGGCCACTGTCATCTGTAAAGTCACTTAACACATTTCATTAAAAGTGTTAAGTGTTGGGAAGCTGAGAACAGGAGGATCACTATGAGTCCAGTTTGTTTAGCGAGACCCTGCAGGCTCTGTACTAATTAAAAAAAAAAAAAAGTGTAAGTAGTATTTACTGATTCTACTTGAGTCTTCATCAATGAGAAATACTGATGTAATACTGTAAATATATTTTACAGAAAACAATACTTGCCCAAAAACTAATGGCTACCTAAAACAAATGCCTTTCTACAACTTAAATATTGAATAAGTTGCCCTTATACAAAGTTTTGACTTCAGGGTATTTCAAATGATAAATAAACAAAACCCTAAATTACATAAAATTTTACTGATCAAACCACCCTCCTCTCCTGGTGTAGTGTACACCATAATCCTAATACACAAGAGACTGAGGCAGGAGAATGCCAAATTTGAGGCCAGCCTGGGCTATATAATGAGTTTAAGGTCAGCTTGAGCTACATAAAGAGGCCCTGTCTCAAAAACCTAAACAAAACAAAAAATTCTTCCCAAAATTATTGGCCTGCATTAGATGAAGATGTATTTTAATGGCAGATTTCATTTCTGAATAATTACTGTCCCTTTTTTCAAACTTGTTAAAGGATCAAATAGTCTTTTGGTGATGTTTCACAAAGTGTTTTTATATTGGGATTAAAATAATTATGCTTGTCAGCTGAACAGACATCCTTAATATGTAGTATAGAAAAATGACAAGTGCAAAAAGGCATAATAAAATTTCATGAAGAAAAATTAATACTGAAAGAAACAACATCCAATGACTCATGCGTGTGCCACTGTTTCTACCAGCTGGAACCAAAAGTGGGAAGGCAGCATGCTCAAATCAGAGCCGGCAGGTAGCAAGACATGCATTATCCTCTTCATTCACAGGCAGCAAACCCCTGGGCAACTGAGGCAAACGGGCTGAGAACCTTGGTTACAGAGGACCAAAGACCTTGTTGCAGTGCACAGTATGTGATATCAAAGTTCATTTCCCAGATAAGATTTTTTTTTTTTTTTTTTTTGGCGGAACCAGGGATTGAACTCAGATCCTTGAGTTTGCCAGCCAAGCGCTTATCCTACTGAGCCATCTCCCTGGCCCCCCAGATAAGATTTTAATATCAACAAATATGCAAAATTCAAGATGTTCAAAATACTCTTGAATATAATTATCTTTTTTCCTGAATAGTGAATCTCATGGTGTATTTTTTTCATTTTTCTCCTGACTTGTGATCTCATGTTCATTGTTGTTAATTTTTCCAATTAAGAATCAAGATGTATTTTACTTAAGCTTAACTGTCCACTTAACCTCAGTCATTAATTTTTCCCAATTTGACAATCTTTTCATTAAAATTACTCTCAGAAATATCAAGAATCCATCCCAACAATCCCAGAAAGAGGATACTGAGATTAAGCTGCACTGCCTTCCAATAATTTCAAAACAAATTGGCACACAAATTAGTATTTTGCAAGAAGAGGCCATTGCCTTTGCAGTACAAGCACTTGGACTGAGATAAAACAAGGCAATATTCTTCTTAGTTCATTATAGTGCAAGTTTCCACATGGGAAGCCCACCAGGTAAAGATGCACATTAAACATGTAAACATAGAATTCTCCAACTCTAATCGATACCCAGTTATTGCCAACCTTCCCATTTTCATTGAAACATCCAGTGCCCGTGTGTCACAGATCGGAAGTTCAATGTCCACTTTGTCTTAGGCAGTGAAGCACTTTGTTCCAGCAACAGGAAGAGGGAATATTTGTCTGACTGAGATAAAAGACACTGACGGATCACCATTTGTATGTATGCAAAATCAAGCACACTTGGCTCTTTTAAGTTGCTCCCAATATTCCTAGCATTAATCTGAAACCACATTTTTTCCTTTTTAAAAACATTAGTTACATATTTTTAAGTTGCTTGAAAAGCTACTTTGCCCCTGCCAAAATTCTGAATCCCTACTTTTGTTGACAGTTTTTAGGGGAGCTCTGATTACCAGAGAGGTCTCACCAGTTCAGAGTACAGAGAAAGAACGACAGAGAGAGAGAGATTCAGGGTTGAGAGAGAGAAACTCATCAGTATCTATTAATGTGAAAGTACACTAGTTTAAAAAACACCTTCACTTTTAGCAGAGCAGTGCTAGACACATGTAAAATGCAGGAAGCTAACTTCTGGCAAGGTGGCAGAGCAGTGCTAGAATCATCCCACAGGTCAGCCCTGATAGCTGGAGATGCAGCAGCCCCAGTACCATACATGACAGCAGGTCAGGCAGGTTACATAAGAGACTTCTGTTATTCCCCTCCACCCAAGTTCTGGTAGCTGAGAAGTTAACAGTTTATTTTGTCATTTAATCCCCATTGTTAAATTTCTTAAATTATCTTAATCCATACTGGGATAAGAGAGAACACACATAAAAATACATGAGAATATTATAAGAATAATTTGTGGATAATCTGAAAACCTAACATTCACAGTGGGTAACAAGAAGGTATTAAACTCATCATACATTAGAAGAGGTATGCATGTAGACATCATTCTGAGAAAACCTGGTCTAAAGAACATGAAAATGTCACAAACAGTTAATATAGAAAAAGCTAATGGTAACACACACACAAATTCTTTTTAAATAGATTCTCTAACCAGAACATATTAAATGTTTTACTCAAAAATACATAAAAAATGATTTCATATTGTGATATTATATGCTGGAAGTACTGCAAGGATATATGACTTACAATGAAAACATAATGGTTAGACTTGTAATTCTTAAACATTGTCTAAAAAAGACATTTTATTGAGCACTGAAATAATCTTGGAAGTAAAGAGGACCAATAATATGGCTAACTTTTTACCATCAAGCAACAACAGTGGTCAAACTGAAGAGCTAAGCTTGCTGGGGAATGGAGTTAGTAAAATATTAGAATCAGGTCCTAAATTTCAAAAATTCCATTTAATCAATTGTTTAGAGAAGATGCTTGAATAAATCATGGACTTGGGGCAAAAATGGCCTACAGAGCTGCAGGGTGAGGCAGCAGTATTGAAACATGTAGAAAAATTTTTCCTCTTGACAGAGTTGTGGCTCTCAGGTAGGGACAGAAGATACGCACACAGCCCGAAGGCGCCTTACAGACGACAGGGCTCTCCTACAACAGCAGCGCCCAGAATGGAGTCTTGTAAATACTTACTTTCCTCACTAACATGGTTGGATCCCTAGAGAAAACAAAGCCCTTTCCAACATTAGTATTATTATTTTTTTCCTTTCATGATTTTTTAACTTGGCCCTCAAATGTTAGTTAATGTGAAGGCTATTTGGCTACTTCCAAGTATCTATGGTTTGCTGTGCTGGGATGGACTTTTTTTTCTTCTTGAAATTTTTTGGTATCAATAAAACCCAGGCATCCTTGGTCAGTGATGCCTTTACAATTCCTGTTTCCTTTGTACTCAGTCACTTCACTGGGTTTAAGGCATGCTTTGTGTATTCAGTTTGCAAAAATAAAACTTTTAGTACAAATTTATTTTTTATACAAACTTTTATGGCACAAGCAGCAAATCTGCTGTTTTAAGAAAATATATAAATATCCTTTTCTTCTGTACAAATATCTCCAGTATTCCTTACCCCATTTTATAACTTTATCTGTACATGGTCTGCCTCATCTTTCTGTATTAGTTCCCTCCCCCCCTCCAGATCTCAACCAAATGTGTATTTACATTCTTCATGGTGGAGGCAGTCAGAGGAGGAGGGCCCCTCCTCAGGAGGAGTCTGTGCAGGGCGAGGGAGGCGGCGGGTAGAGGTGGTGGGAGTAGCTCCTCTCTGTGTACGGAGAAGGGGGGCAGCTTTCATAGTTCTCCTCTGCTGACAAGTACTGGCTTCGAGGCGTGGGGGGTGGGGGCACAGGTTCTGAATCATAGTTCAAGTCGCTGGTATAGCCTTTGGCTGTTGCCACCGAGGTCATTCTCCGGCTAGGAGCATAGTCACTATCACAGACATCTGTGCTGCAAGGAGTGGTAGGGGGTGCAAAGTGCCGATAGCTGTATGGCCTATAACTGATACAGAAGGAAAATAAAGAGAAACTGTTAATTT